TCAAACATATTTATTTAGATGTAAGAAAATAAATTTCGACATTTTTTGATAAAATTATACAATTTAAATATAAATTTTAATTAAATCCAATACTTAAAAAAAATATAATTAAATTAATAATTTAATTATTATTATTATTATTAAAAGGTAAAAAAAAAACAGAATCTAAACAGTATATTATACCTGAAAAATCAATAACTAATTTGTATCGAGAGAACATTATTTCTCTAGTCAAACATTAAATTTTGAGTATATTATTACGTTAGTTATGTATTTTTTTTTATCACTCATAACAATTTGATCTAAATCAATAAAGATTATTTCTAATAAAAATTGCATTTATGCTATAAAAAATAATTATGATAAGAAAAAAGAAAAAAGAAAAAGAGGGGTGTAAAGGGAAATGAGCAATGGTGAGATGAGTAGAATAGGGTGATGAAGTGTGTACGTCGATGTGATTACGTTGCCAAATGATCAAAAATGGAAAGTGAGGCTATTAGCTATAGGTTTAGGGTATAGTAACTTTTCTCTAATCTATTGGGACAAGTACCTCAACCATGAAACCAAAACCAAAGTGCCCTTTTTTCCCTTAAAAAAAATAATAATTAATATTGGTTTGCAAAATTAAACGCCGTAATATTAGGCATATACTATAAATACAGTTCACAATGAGTTAGCACTCTAGGGCAGGCAATAGGCAATTAGGTAGAGCACATACTTACTATTGCTAAATGCCTTCAATAGTCTTCCAATCTAGAAACTACAAACTCCAACCACACCCCCCTTCTACTTCTAGCCTTCAATGCCAAAAAAGTATACCAAAATTAATAAATTCAACCATATATTTTTATTCAACATTTTTCTAATCATTTTTCCACGCCTATCTTGACTTTTTCTATATAAAATTTTAATTTTATGATTTACTAACATATAAGAACCGATCTAAAACTTCGATGCCATGATTTTTTTTATTCATATTTAAAAAAATTTAAGACTATTGTTCATTATATTTAATTTTTAATATTTCTTAAATATATATTTATCCCTTTTTTTAGTCACACCATCTATCATATATTTGTTTTTCTTTTTTCCATCTTCTCGTCTTTTGATTTTTTCGGTTTCAAAATATCTAAAATTTCAAAAATGTAAAAAAAAAATGTATATTTCAATTATGATTGTGTTTTGACTTAATAATCATTGAAGACAATTACATTTATTTATATAAAAAATATATTCAAATGATTAAAGAGATGATTTATGATTTAATTAAATATTATTTGATCATGTGTATTAGTTTTTTGAATCTTTTCAGTAAAATGTTTCTTTATTTTGTCACTTTTTAGTTTGGACCTCAAGTCTTTCCTTGACTATGAGCTCCCATATCTTATTAGAAATTATGTGAAAGTCTTTGTTTAAGAGCGAGGGAGAATGCATTAATAAGTTCAGTTTAAGTGAATTGTTTGTCTAAAAATGTCTTGACACTTTGTACTAGTTGCTCTTTTATTTATATACCTTTTAACTTATTCTTCTTTTACCTGTTCTAATTAATATTTAATACCAATATATCTTACCACCGAACGATATGCACCTTGATTGATAGGCCAAAATAAGCCACACTTTAGCATGATTCTATTGAGTATTTGAAAGAGAGGCACAATGAAAAGTTAAGGAAGGTGTTGGGTAGAGCTACAACAAACTAAGTGAGTGATTAGCAACTAAATGTCACAAGTATAATATGAATGTTGCATTCTTCGCTTCATATGATTAAAGGCCGGCCCATAAATAAAAGAGTCATACTTAAAAGTTATAAAGAAAAAGAGTTATACTTGAAATTATACTCAAAATTTGAGGGTAAATTTTTAGACAGAGATTTTTATACTTGAAATAAAAAAGATATATGTTAGTAATATATATAGTTTGTTTTTTTGTTTTACAAAGTTTAATAGTAAATAATTTTTAGTTAGTGATGAAATAACCGATTATCCGAGAATTTCATGATTTGAATTTGATTAATGATATTTTCGCTTGCTTTTCAAGGTTTGGGTCCCAATTTCGGATTGGGCTGACATGCATGGGCTTTGCATTGAGTGTCTTGTATGTCCAAAAAAAGTTTTTATCCGAGTTTCTTTTTAGTCTTACCAGGTAGGCATGGCAACACGACAGGGGCAAGTTGTACGTTCTTGTTCTCGTTCCCGCAAATTTAAACTGTCTCTAATATATGTTGGGAGTCTCCCAGCGGGGTTCGGGTTTCCCCTTCCCACCCCCGCCTCCGCTCCTATTCTTTTTCTTTTTTTCTTTTAAATAAATATAAATAATTTAAAAAAAATTAAAAATAATATAAATAATATAAATTTTTACATATAAATATTTGGTTTATATATATAAATAATTTTTTTAATTATATTATTAAGCGGGGCGGGAGCGGGT